CAACCTGGTGACAGCGTGGCCGCCTCACGACACACGACGAGTCTAACCGGGGGCTTCCGGGCTCCGCGACTGGACAGTGGGCAGCGCGGCAGGACGGAGCGCGGCGCGCAGCCCCGGGCAGGGGAAGGCCGCCGAGCGCCCACCCTGTCAGCGGGCGCGCTGTCACCGCTCCGTGCGGCCGCCTCTCTGCGCCTCCGACAGAACGACGCTGTCGGCGCAGCCAAGAAACTTAAGGTCAGTTCGACCGCGTTCACCGCGGAGATGGAGCGTACACTGCCCACCGGCCCCAGGGTCTGTCACAGCTGCTCAAGCTGCGGCCGGCCCAGAACGCGAGCCAGGCGCAGGGGTGGCTTTTCATGGTTCTGCCTCTCGTGCTGTCATGCTCGCCTCCCGTCCCCGCACGCACATACAAGCACACACATGCACACACACGCACACACACAGCACACACAAAGCACGCACGCACATACAAACACACATGCACACACAAAGCACACACGCACATACAAACACATGCACACACATGCACGCACACACACGCACACAAGTGCACGCGTGCAAGCGCACACATATGCACACAAGCGCACGCACATACAAGCACACACGCACATACAAGCACACACATGCAAGCGCACACACAAGCACATAAACGCACACTCACACACATACACATGCACACACACACACGCACACACGCACACGCACACACGCACACACGCACACACGTGCTGGTTTTTCATGACATTGCTTGTTTTCTGAGTCCTGCCTTGCTCAGGGCTCTGCAGTTCCCCCATCAGATGCCCTAACGGGTGTGGGGATGCTTCCCCTTTGCGGTGCTTGAGTTACCTGTGAGGTGATGCTTTGAGACCACACGACTATCCCGGCACCTAAACCACAGTCTTAATAGATGATCTGGCCTGAATCGGGCATTACTTTGGGTGTTGGAAAATACTAATTTTTTCCTTCTATCTCTCCTCTGTAGCTATTACCTAGCAGCAGGAAGAGCTCTGGGCCCTGGCCTGGTGGCTCAGTGGGTTAGAGCATCCTCCTGATACACCAAGGTTACAGGTTCCATTCCTGGTCAGGGCACATACAGGAATCAACCGGTGATGCATCAGTAAGTGGGACAGCAAATCGATGTTTCTTCATCTCCGCTCTTCACTCTCTCTCGAAAATGAATTTTTTAAAGAAGTCGTCAGCTTTAAAAAAGAAAGAAAAGCTCTTCCTTCAGTAACGCTATCATCTGTCTCTCTAGCCTCTATGACATACCTGTCTATCCCTCCACAGATCTATACCTTAGAGAGTTAAAATATAAAAGCAGCAAATATTTAAAATGTAGATTTTGATGAACATTTCGTGTCTATACAACCATGAAACAATCACCACAATCCAGATAACATTTTCATCAACACCCCTCCCCCCCAATTTTTGTGACCCTTTATAATCTCACTCCAATTTCATCGCTAGGCAACCCCTGATACGCTTTCTTCCACTGTACATTAGCTTTCACGCCTTGGAATTTCATGTACATAAAATAACTCAGCATGTGTATTTTTCTGGCTTCTTTACTCAGTATAATGGTTTCAACGCATCTATAATGTGTATATTGATAGGTTGTCCCTTTTTGTTTCTATGTGGTATTCCATTGTCTTTGTAACATTTTAAAATTTAAAATAATTTTAGCCTGGCCGGTGTGGCTCAGCGGTTGAGCATTGACCTAAGATCCAGGAGATTGCGGTTCGATTCCCGGTCAGGGCACAGGCCCGGGTTGCGGGCTCAATCCCCAGCAGGGGGCGTGCAGGAGGCAGCCGATCAATGACTCTCTCATCACTAATGTTTCTGTTTCTCTCTCCCTCTCCCTTCCTCTCTGAAATCAATAAAGATATATTTAAAATAATAATTTTAACTCTGGCTCGGTGGCTCGGTTGGTTGGGCATCGTCCTGTACACCAAAAGTTTTCAAATTCAATTCCCAGTCAGGGCACATGCTTAGGCTGCGGTTTCAATCCCCAGTTGGGGCACATATGAGAGGCAACTGATCAATGTCTCCCCCCACCTTTCTCTAAAATCGATAGACATCTCTAGGTGAGGATAAAAAATAATACAAAATAACTTTAGATTTACAGAATGATCGCAAAGGTAGTACAATGAATTAGCTTATACACTTGTCCCAGCTTCCCCTAATGTGAACACTCTATACCATGGACCATTCATCAAAATTACGACATTGGGCCCTTTGCCCATTTTTAATCATTATTTGTTTGTTTGGTTGGTTCTTGCTATTGGGTTCTTTGTATGTTTTGACTATCAACCCCTACCAGATACGTGGTTTGCAAATATTTGCTCCCATTCCACAGGCTGTTTCTCCACTCTGTTGGTTGTTCCCTCAAAGAACATGCCAAGGCCTGCAGGTGTATAAAAAATTGCTCAAGGTCACTCATCATCAGGGAAATGCAGATAAAAACCACAGTGAGAGATCACCCCATGCCTGTCAGAAATGGCGATTATCAAAAAGGCAAGTGATACAAGTGTTGGCGAGGGTTTGAAGAAGGAACACTTACACGCTGTTGGTAAGGATCTAAATGGGTGCAGCCGTTATGGAAACCAGTAAGGAGGTTTCTCAAAAATTAAAAACAGAACTATCAACAAATGACACCTGCTGGGGAGGGTGTGGAGAAATGGGAGCCCTGGCACACTGCAGAGAAAGACAAACATCACATGATCTCACCTATATGTGGAATCTAAAGAACTTAATAAACTGATGAACAGAAATGATTCAATGACATGGAAGCATAGATGAGACTAACGAATGTCAGAGGGACAGAGGAGGGCGGGTGGGTGGAGGGGGAGAGAGTAACCAATGAACTTATATGCATATATACACAACCCAAGGACACGGACAATGGTGGGGAGAGGGACTGAGGAGGGGCTGGGGTGAAGGGGTCAATGGGGAGAAAAAGGGACATCTGTAATAGTTTGAACAACAACAAAAAAATAGAACAACTATATTATCCAGCAATGCCGCTTCTGGGCACATATGCAAAGGAAAGAGAATCAGTACCTTGAAGAGATACCTCACCCCGTGTTCGCCGCATTACTCACAACAGCCCCGACGTGGAAATGATCTACGTGTCTAGGCACTTAGACTCAGCGATCATCTCAGACACTCAGCTTGACTGACGGACACGGAGACGGACTGGCACACACTTCGGCTGGTTCGTCCATGTTGTCACAGATGGCAGTATTTCCTTTTTTCTCTCTTTAAAAAAAGTTTTTAAACATATTTTTATCCTTGCCCAAGGATAGTTTAATTTAATTTAATTTAATTTAATTTAATTTAATTTAATTTAATTTAATGTAATTTATCTTTTTAGATGTTTTTAATTGATTTTTAGAGAGAGGACGAGAGAGGGAGAGAGAGATAGAAACATGGATGACAGAGATACTTCATCCATTGGCTGCCTCCCGCACGCCCCCTGTGGGGACTGAGCCGGAAACCGGGCCTGCGCCCCGACTGGGACTCAAACCCGCCACCTCTTGGTTCCTGGGTCGATGGTCAACCGCTGAGCCACGCCGGCCGGGCGTGACACATTGCGTAAGATGGTGCCTGCCAGCTTTGTCCACTGCAAAGCTGCCATTTTTCTTTATTTCTATTTGTTTGGTTTTTGTTTTGTTTGTTGTTGTTAGTCTTCACTGGAGGATATTTTCCATTGATTTTTAGGGAGAGTGGAAGGGGAGAAGGGGTGCTGGGGGGAGGGAGTGACAGACAGAATGACGTGAGAGACCCACATCGGCTGGTTGCTCCCACGCGTGCCCCAGCCCGGGACCGAACCTGCGGCCCTCGCGTGCTCTAACCAGGAGCACAGCAGGGACAGGCGCCACCTCTCTCTTCCCTGCGTTAGAGACCAGGTTGCCAAGCCCACGTTCAAGAGCAGAGAGCTAAGCTCCACCTCCTGGCGGAGGAAGTGCTGCCTAGGGTATTCTGGAATTCTTGTGCAAGGTTCTGTCCATTCTCTGCTGCTTATTTGTGTGACATTTATTTTTAAATACCAGTGCAGATTGATAGGGATTTGTTTGATTCCTCTTAATTTTTAAGTTTTATATATGGTTGGTACACAATCTTATATTGGTTATATTAGTTTCAGGTGTACAATATAGTAATTCGACTGCTTTTTTCGAGAGAGTGGAAGGGGGAGAGAGAGAGAAACACCCATGTGAGAGAGACACATGGGTTGGTTGCCTCCCGCATGTGCCCCAACCTGGGCCCAGCCTGCCACCGAGGTCCCTGCTCTTGGCTGGACTTGAACCTGGGACCCTTCAGTCCATGGACCGACGCTCTAACCACGGAGCCAAACTGGCCAGGGCAGTAGTCAGACATTTTTATACTTTACAATGGGATCACCCCTCTAATTCTAGTCCCCACCTGTCACAATGCAAACTTATCACAATGTTATTAACTACATTCCCCTTCCCCTTTTCACCCATCTCCCACCCCCTCCCTTCTGGCAACCTTTGGTTTTTTGTTATAATCCAAAACTATTGTTCCAGGTTCGTTTGTAGCTCTTTGGCCTACTCCTGTGTCCCTGTGACATATGCCCATACTTTTTTTTTTTTTTTTAATTTCCTTACTTTCTGGCACTATATGATGCTTTAGGTTCGCCCTATATTTTTCTGTCCCAGCCCTGGGCTCACCAGAAGCCCTGGTTGCTTTACTGGGAAATAGCATCTAGAAACTAGGATGTGGGTATGGTATGTGCTCGTTGCTACTGGGGTGTTGCCACTTCTGGGCCCTCTTAGTAAATGGAATTAGAAACTACACTGTGCTTCATCTTCACTGAGCTCTATGAAAACGCTCATCCCAGCATGCTCCGGGCTTCCCTTTGCACAACTCTGCTCTCTTGGTTATTCCAAGTCTTCAACTAGAAAGCAACAAAGTTCAACTTCCCCTTCATGCCTTCACCAGAGATAGTAATGTTCTATCAACACGAAATCCTCACGATTATGTACAGATGAGCTACAAAATAAGTGGAATTGGGCAATGTATATGGAGTCAAATGAAAGAGTCTGTGTTGTAAAAAATTACAGTGTGTGTGATCCAAGTGGGATGAATGGTCAGGCAGGTCTCCAGCTTAGCTGCCCCCAAACCTCCCCACATATGCTCTGCACCATGAACACATGATCCCTGCTGTGAGGGCCCACTGCACGGTGCACAGGGTACAGTGTGGAGGCTCCAGGAACCTCCCCTGGCCCAGTGTGGGCTCTGACCTCATATCCTTAGGGGGGCCATCCATAATTATCCCCAATCCCGGGGAACAAAATGTGAAAAACTGGGGTTGTGAATCCCAAATGGTTCTAGACAGAAAATGTCTGTAATGTTTGGGTCTTTGCACCCATACGGCACACAGTGTGTTTTCAGTCTTTTGTAGTCCCCAAGGGGACATGGAGGCCAAAGGGGGGATGCTGATAGCAGAGAAGACAGGGCACTTTGGGGGCTTTACTGGACAATACCATATTCTTCATACATTGTCCTCACAGGCAGATCTCAGACCTCCAATGTCTGCCCCTGAAACTACAGCTGCCCACCCATCCCAGAGCTCGCATCCTGGAATATCAAGGAGCTTGTGCACTTCAAACATACATCAGGATGTGCAGAGTCCCACCCCAAATCCTGGACCAAAGACCTATATGTAGATAGAGACGCAGATGAACAGGACAAGACAGTTGTTACGAACCAGTGTCTCCACCTCAACAAGAGTATGTACAGTAGGAAAATCCCCCAGAAACCGTGAGCTTTGGGTGAGTATTGGGAGAGGGGCCAACTGGGGTGGGGAAGAAAACAGAAAGACAAAAAACCTTTCTTTCCTGTCCCCACATGTGACCTAAGGGAAAGGTACAGGTTTAAATGAATGAGCAGGAGGGACAGAAAGGAATTTGCTCATGGAAGATGCTCTCACGTGGCCAAATGAGCTGCGGCTGCCCACCTCCCTCCATCATGTGCGCTCACCTGGTTGGACCCATCCTTTCCCCGAGAGGTCCAACCTGCCTAGATTTTCACTGGACACCACATATTCCCAGACACAGTTTCCAACTGTGGCTCAAACCCTACCACCCAGAGCAGCATGGCCTCCCCTTACTTCAATCCAAACCACCTGCCCCAGGGCTGGACCTGGGGTGAGGACAGCAGCTGGCGAGGACACGGCTCATGTTTCTGAGATCAGCAAGGCCATTCCTTAGGTGCTGCCGTTTGGACCATTTGGCCACCAGGAACCCCTCTGGCTCTCTGGGCTCTTACCTCACCCCTGGTCAACTGTCACAGGATTTTCCATTCCTTGTCTTAAATAGACCATGGGCAGCTGTTCCTGTCCTTTTGGTCTCCATGCTGCTTAACCCCTTGTCAAGCCTCATTCTCAATGTTACTTTATTATTATTACTTTTTAAATCCTCACCCAAGGAGCGAGGATATTTTCCCTCCATTGATTATTACAGAGAGTGGAAGGGAGTGGGGAGGGGAGAGAGAGAGAGAAACATTGATGTGAGAGAGACACATCCATTGGTTGCCTCCCAAACTCACCCCGACCAGGGCCAGGGATCAAACCTGCAACCCAGGTATGCGCCCTTGACTGGAAATTGAACCAGAGACCCTCCGGTGTTCAGGCCAACTCTCTAACCACTGAGCCACTCTGGCCAGGGCTCATTCTTACTTTAGACACTATGAGAAACAGCAGAGGATTGTGGGTAGGCGCACAGAGTTGGCTCTACAGCCATCTGGGTCAAACGCTGATTCTGCCTCTCATTAGCTGTGTGACTCTCTGTAAATCATTTAACCTCTCTGTACTGTTATTTGTAAAGGGGGAAAACGGTATAGTACTGATAACTTGGGGTTCTAATGATGTTTAAATGAGTTAATTGGAAAAAGTCCCGGGAATGCTACTGTGTGTGGAACTGCTCACAAGCCTCCCCCAAATCCCAGCCACGCCCAGGAACAGGACAGGCAGGAGGTCTGACACCACAGCTTAATGTGTTCCAGCCCAGTAGGCGCTAACCACAAAATGCTGAAGACCAGAGGGTAGCATCCAAAAGGGAAAGGCAGCCCTGGCCTGTGTGGCTCAGTGGTTAAAGTGTCAGCTCCCAGCACCGAAGGGCTGCAAGTTATTCCCGGCCCCAGACGGCGCTCATGTGGGAGGCAACCAACCAGTGTGTCTCTCACATCGACATATCTCTCTCTCTCCCTCTCTTTCTCTCCGCCTCCCTCCCACTCTCTGTAGAAATCAATGGAAAAAATATCTTGGGGTAAAGATTAACCAAAAAAAAGAAAAACCCAAAGGGTCAGGGAGTTTCCTCCAGGGTGTGCCAATATGAGGGCAAGTAGGTATTTTGAAGGCCCTGCCTCTTCAACACGATCTCACAAATATGTGGAACTGCAGGCAGCTTAGACCTAATACCTAAGTTATAAATTGTTACGGCAATAATTGCTACACCAAACATTCCCAAAGTAGGCTCCACATCCTATCTCCCAAGAACACCTTCAGTTGCACAGAGCAGAGGTGGAGGGGGGCCGCAGGGGATGGAGAGAAGGATATTTGAGGATGAAGTTTACAGGGAGCACGTTCAGCCTCCTATCCATGGGTCCATAATGGCTTCTCCTCCCAAACTCGCACAGGCAATGAGCACAGCGGGGTCACAGGTACAACAAAGTACATGTCCTGTTCCCACTAAGACCCCTCACGTCCCAGAGCATTGCCTACTGGCTTCCTCCCACCCCAGCGCCTACTCTGCTGTCCTTGTAGGATAGTCATCTTTGCCCTCAACAAGCCAGCAAACCAAACTGAAGCAGCAAAACCATAGCTATATTCTCAATTACATTTCCTGTTGAAATGTTAAACATTTTTTGCCTCTATATTTTCAAAGATTAATATATATTTGTCTCACAATAACTTTCACAAATAAATGCTTTTAAGGGAAAACCTTAACAAGTCAGTTGTCTTTCTTCATGATTGTTTTGACTGTGTTACCAAATAGAGGTGTGGCAAAATCATAGGGTTCTCAACTCTTTTCCATGGCAGTAGAGAATAGAAACATATCCAGGTTCAGGAAGATTTTAAAAAAGAGTATTTCCACATGCTATGATAGTTCAAAGAACAAGTTAAAGATTTAAAAATTAGATTGCGTTCCCACTGTTGGTGGGAATGCAGGCTGGTGCAGCCACTATGGAAAACAGTTTGGAGTTTCCTCAAAAAATTAAAAATGG